ACGTCCAGTGCTGTGGCGTTCGCAGGCCCCCCCCCCGCCGGCACTTGCTCTTGTCGTGCCCGTAGCCCTTGCATTTCTCACATCGCACGGTCTTGCTCTCGGGGCAGTCGGCCACCTGGTGGCCCTTCTTGCCGCACCGGAAACAGCGACCGCGCATGCTACCCGCATCGTCGTCGCCGCCTCCGCCGCCGCCACCAACCTTCACGCCACCCCCTCTCCCCTTCTGGTTGCCGCCGCCACCGCCCTCCCCTCCGGAAGGCTCGCGTGCACCGTGCTCACGATCCGGACGATCTCGGCCCTATCCAGCGCCGTTGCTGTCTCCAACAGGAACTTCGCTTGCTGGTGGGAGGGAACCAACGAAGTGGGCGAGTACAAAGGGTGCGTTAGCCTTGAGCCCTTTTTCGCGTAGGCGTGAGTGCAGCAGACCGAGCGAGTACAGGTCCTCGATGGGGTTTCTGCTGCTGTGTGTGGGGATCGTGAAGTTGCATATTTGCTTCATGAGGGCTTGTTTCGAGCCCTGCGACTCCGGATCGAAGAGTTTGTCGAGTTCCGCGAGGATCTCTTCTGCGGTCTCGCATTTGTTCACGATCACCTTGTCTTGACCCTTTTGTTCCATTGCAAGGAGCATTTGGACAATTTCGTCGCGGGAAGCTGCTTCCTCGGTGTTTTCGAGAGTAGTTTACCCTCGAATCGGACGCTAAATGCTTCGCCGCGACACCATGACCATTGCGGGATAGTCATGTGCTCGCCTTATCCTTTGTTGATGCCTTGCTGTATCCGCGTGCGTTTGCAGGCATTCGGCAAAGCTTTGATGCGACAGAATAGAAAGTGCCTTTTCCATTCAACGTGGCGGCGTTTGGAGCGTCGTGTTCATCAGGCCTTCTACGACAGCGGCAAAGGCGCGGATGAGTTTGCACAATTTACAGGAGGAAGTGACGTCGTTGGGCGACAATATGGATGATCCAGCGTTTTCTGCATCTACGTGCTGTAGTCTTCAGATTGCGTTGCACCGTTGATCACCAACCCAGTCAAATACATTCGACTAGGGGGAAATGACACTCAACTGCCGGCATTCTTTAACGTGTAAATGGCGTCGCGACTCATTCATGGGCGACGCCAGCCCCTGTTTTTGGTAGCTTTAGGTCGGTGATTTGATTCGTGCTCGGCGCGTTGATTTCGGCGGTGAGCTCGCCCTGCAGGCGTTAACCTGGATAAACCTGAAGGCGAACTCGAAAGGATAAGGTTGTGACGGTGTGATTTCTGTGCGACTCTAGCCCCGTGTCGAGGTCGGTTGTGATTGGCGATCGGCGCCCATGTTTCGATGCTGGGCTCGCCCTGGACGTTTAAAAACTGTTGGTATAGCTTGGCCATTCCGTAGTACTGCTCTCTGCGTTGTGTCAGCCGAACAGTTCTAAAGAAAACGGCCATGGACATGTGGCCGACGCCAATACGGGGTGTTATCACTTTCGCGATATGGTAGAGGTCCGAAAAGACGATAAGCTCACTATGACGTGATTTGTGCCTTCTTGCGACTCTGTGCTATAGGGTCCGCCGAAGCCACGATGCTATAGGGTCCGCCGAAGCCACGATGCTCCCGCTAGGAAAGTCTTGTCGTTGAGTAGGCAAAGGGTATCGTACGGAAGCGGCCGAGAAGAATGCCCACGAACGAACGTATTGTATCATCATGCACCGTTTCGTACTTCAAGGCTCCCTATTCGTGGAACTTTTCGTCCAAAGCGCTACCAGATATTTCGCCTGTGGATAATGTTGTCATGCAAAGTGCATGTGAACTCCCGACAAGTAGATGACGTATCCATCGATTCTTTGCTTGTGACACGAACGGCCACGGTCACTTCCTTGGGAGCAACAGATGGTTCACGGATTTTCCGCGATTTCCGTAGGTTCGCGTTTGATTTGTCCAGCCTGGACTCAAGAATTTTTACGCGTGTCTGTGGCGTTGAAGACACGTTTTCGCGGGTTTGTTTTATGAAACTTCGTTGCGTACCGAGGCCGCTGCATCCTCTCCAGCCTTCCGGGGAGCAAGTATGAAACATTCGTCGTTACCGGGTCTCCGTCGACCGCGTCCTTCCATCCATCGTTGCAGAACGGTGCGTACTTCGAGGGGTAGGGACAGAGGTTCCAGTTGGCTTGGTACTGGAAGCACGAATCCAGGTTGTCTACCATCAAAGGCAACCCACAATAGTGATAATGTCCTGGTCGACTCTGTGCGTCGTATGGGTCTAGCTAAATGGGATCAAAAACAAATCGATGTAGTCTAGCCTTCTTGTGAAAAACGCGAAAAAGTTTGGCAACGGGTTTTCCTACCGAAAAGAGAGCACCCGACTTGAGGTCTACTGTTGCCGCCCCGACCAATCACATAAACAGGGCTCGTCACCCTTGTTACGCGGGGAAACCTCTCTAATACGATACTGGCAACCTTGCCAACAACCGTTATCCCGACATATCGTGGAGCGCCGCCGACACTGAGAAAAAAAACAGAGTAATAATGATATTATAAACATGTTTGCAGCTACTCATCACATCACAAACCTCAAACACCTCTTACAATACTTCTCCTAGCTGACCGCCAGCTTCGAAAACCAAAACCCCAGGGTGTGAGTTGTGTAAGACTATGATAAGACCATCGAAATCCCGCCAGCGTCTAATACGGAGTGTCCCCGCGCGAGGCGAGATGTCGTCTACATGATTCTTGAACGTATCGTACTCAAGTACGGCGTGCTATCGTGCCCATTTTCCTCGTTGGGTACAGTAGTATGCACAGACACCCGACATTACAACGGCAGGTAGCCCGGAACGACACAACACTGCAACAATAATCGCTTCAGGATTGATACCCCGACTCTGTTCCTCACGCACGTGCAAAGCAAGTAGGCATGCATGCGGTCTTACGCGGCGTCGCAATACAAGGGAACAGCAAAAGAAGACCGCGCCTTGATTCAAGCATTTCTTCGCCCAAAAACCTACGGCACGAAATAAATATTTAGAAAGATCGATAACGATGCTAACCCACGTGTGCAAGAAGACTATTCGGCGCTATGCAAATCTCACAAAGTCGGTCCCTCCGCTGGCGAATGAACGTAGCGAACGTCATGAAATATATTACAAGAGAGAAGCGTTCGAACGCGTAGAACGATACAAAAGCATCTTTACCATTGCGTGGGGTCTCTAACCCTCATGGCCTTTCACCCGTGCTATTGCTGGCATGTACATCAACTTCTGTGGATACTTGTACCAGAAACTTATTCCATCGCTATCATGGCCTGGTTCAGACGGATAGCATACCACAAATATCTCTTCGCCGACGTGTATCGTGTAGCCTACAACGTGATGGGCAGGAGACCCTTAGCCGCCGGAACGCGAACGGTCGTTTCGCTCGTTCCGCCCTCGGTCGAAAATGCGTACGTCTAAGCTCATATGCCAGAACTTGTAAATTTGAAACGCCTACGAAGAACGCGGGGTTGGAACCGTGGTGGACTCTAACGATAACACTTTTTTTCTGATTTCACCCGACGCTCAAATCTCGCGTCTCTCCGCCTTCTCCAACACACCACGCTTTTCCCTTTTTCTAAGTTTCGTGTTATAGTCTAGGGCGCATGTCAAACGCCTTCACATCTATCATCCAGCGCTTGCATGCGCCACACCTTGACCCCACCTGCCCACCGGCCGCGTGGCACAGAATCGGCATGCTCCAGGTCAAGGCGCGGCTCACCTACCACCGTTGTACGATCTAGGTGCCACCGAAGGCCTCCAAGAGGCCGCTGTCGTGCAGTTATGTATGGAGCAAAGCCGCCTTGCCCACGGCAAACCGCTCGCCAGTCGCTCGAGCACAACCAAAACTCGGACGTCGCAGAGTTTTTGTTGCGCGTCGTAGGCGACGAGAACAAGCGCGAAGTTTTGCGTCACACTGTTGTTCGGCCGAAAGCCTGCGGGCATGGGGTGCAACGCCCAAACTCCGGTGCCCTGTTCGTGCCCGTGGAGAGGGACTCGATACAATGGGCAGTTGGCGAGAAGCTTTGGAGGGATGAAGCAGACCCTTGGGCTTCTCGTCAGCACCGCCACAACCGGCAAGTGTTGTCCTTAGAGCCTGCGATCGGCGAGAGAACACGACAAGGCGACTCTTAGCCGGCATTCAACGAAAAGAAACGGCGCGTTGTAGTTTTTGGAAGCAAAAAGTAGCCGATCAAGGGCTTGCCTCTCTTGACAGTCTTATGTGCGACCATTACCCTATGCCACCCTCCGTATAATGGTTTCAGTGGGCAGGCGCCGGTGAGCACACTTGCGAATTCCAGCTACCACAACAGTTGTTGCCCATGGGTCGGGTGTCCCCATGGATGATGAGCGGTTTAGCCAAACTGCCAGTAGTATGGAAGATCGCCATACATCTTCTTTCTCAGTTGCGAGCCAGACCCTGATCAAGGGACACTGAGTCCTCGCCGACCCCCGAGCGAGCAGCAACAAATATTAACGTCACAAGTTTGTCGTCCACCCTCGACGATCCCGTCTAGTGGCTAGAGTGTGGTTTATTTCCCAAATTATCGAGTGTTTGTAATGATATACGCCCGTCAACTTTCCGTCGCCTGCTGCTATCCCCCCGCCCCCCGTCGTTGCCAAAGGATTGGGAAACTTGGCCCGATCCGGCCTACACAACGGGGCGACCTTCAGCATTCGCGTGCGAGCGGTAATGCAACCCTTTCCGTCCGCAAGAACATCTCTAACCAGCCGAGCAAAGGCCCAGAACGACGCTCTTCCCGCTAAATACCATACGCCCTTTTCCGTAGCAGCGCATGAGATCGCGTGACGACGATCATATCGTGCCTGTGATTATGGGCATGGTACCTGTGGCTGTGGATATCATATCTGTGATTGAAGAAACCTTACATGAGATTATGGATACCGTACCTGTAATTATGGTGTCTCCCTCGTAGTTGAAGGCGCAGGAGAAAATCTCGTCCGTGTGCCCTTCCAGGATCTGTAGGCAGTCGCCAGTGTCGGCGTCCCACAGGCGAGCCACCTTGTCGCTGCTCGCCGTGAGGATGCGAGTCCCCTGGGGGTTGAAGCAAGTCTGAAGAAGAGGAGGGGGTCGGGGTGCTGGACATCAGGGAGAGTGTTGTCGCGTGTGCAGCAATGTGCGTGTGCAATAGCTCGGTGAATGGTGTCACTATGGTCAAATTTTTACCTACAGAACGCGCGGCACCTCGGGGAACAGCCAAACTGGACAACACGGTCGTGGTGGTGGTGATAAGTCGGGGTTGGGCTGATGGATGTTCGCCCTTGTGCACAAAATAAAGTGAACTTTCGGTGATAAGTCGGGGTTGGGCTGATGGATGTTCGCCCTTGTGCACAAAATAAAGTGAACTTTCGGTGATAAGTCGGGGTTGGGCTGATGGATGTTCGCCCTTGTGCACAAAATAAAGTGAACTTTCGGTGATAAGTCGGGGTTGGGCTGATGGATGTTCGCCCTTGTGCACAAAATAAAGTGAACTTTCGGTGATAAGTCGGGGTTGGGCTGATGGATGTTCGCCCTTGTGCACAAAATAAAGTGAACTTTCGGTGATAAGTCGGGGTTGGGCTGATGGACGTGCGCCCTTGTGCACAAATTAAGGTGATCTGTCGGTGTTTGCCCTTGTACTGTCGGCAACGAATATTGTCAGGATAGCAATGAAGAAACTGCAGGGCGGATGGGGCTCGTATCTGCCCAAGCACAACTCACAGAAGCCTTTGACAACTTCCGCCTCTACTCCACACAGTCCCCTACAGCACGTCTGAAGGAACATATTGAAATTTTCTTGCTATACTACTGAAATACCGAAGAAGCGGGCCCTGCTCCTGTACTCACCACACCATAGAGCTCAGAGCAACAGAGCCTGTGTCCACGTTTCCACGTAACCTGCCTCACGAAGTGAGCACCTTGGCTGCTAACTAGCATCTACCTCTACCTACTGGTGAAGATCGCCCGGTAAGGCCTGTCCACCCTCTTCATCTTGAATAAGATCCCTCACAAGCATACAACATTTCATTTCTTTCTACACGCGAAAGCGATGGTGGGACGCGGGACCGATTCTGTTGGTACACTCAGCGGTAACAACGAACCTTCGATATCTCCCCCTCGTGGCCGATGAGGATAGCCTGGCAAGCCCCGTTCATGGTGTTGAACACCCTCGAGGTGCCGTCAGCGCTCGCCGTCACCAACCTCGACCCCGTGGCGTTAAAGCTCACGTCCAAAATCTCGTCGTTGTGGCCGCGGAGCGTGTGGACACACTGTCCCGAGGCGACGTCCCACACCTGTACGGTTAGGGCCGGCACGTAAGAACCTCTTGTTTTGGCCGAGGCTCGTTTCTTTTGGTATCTATAGGGTGACGACAAAGGTTTTGGTGTAGGCTTCTTGATTGAGCACCTGTCCTTATGGTCAAGATCTTTTACTTTGGATTGTTCTTGGCTCGCTTTCTTTCTGCTAAGTCTCAAGTAAGCACGTTTTTGGCATGTTTTTCCCGCACACGATTCGACGTGTTCAAATCTCTTGGACGTGAGTAGCACCCGACAGGTTAGGACTTGGCCTTTGGCGTGCGCATCGCAAGGGTGCCGACAGATCAATGTCGGCGGTGCACTCCGACTTGTGCGCCACGCACGATTACATTTTGGTGACCTCAAAGCGCATACACGTGCTGGTCCTACCAGACGTCCCAGAGCCTTGGCGGGATTCGCCATCCCACTGAATCGCTGTATGCAAATGGTTCTCAATGAGCAACAGGCAGGACAAAGAACCGATCGGCGTTGAGAGCTGTTGTGACGATTACTTGGCTCCAGTGCGCTGAGGGGAAGGCGTCGCGTTTAGGTGTCCTCCAGAAGGTGTGGAAGCTAGTACTAGGTCATGGTGGTCATCTCTTGACCTATCTCGATGTTGTCGCGCGCCGTACGGCTGCTTGATGTTCTAATGGGTGACAGAATACAAACGAATCTAATTTAAAATTGAACGTTTGTGTGCTTGCACGACTGACCCCCTCCCGATCTGGGTTGTACAGCATGTTCGTACCTTACACGTGCGATCGATAGAGCCGCTGATACAAAGATCAGAGGAGTAGCTAAACTGGGTGCTGGAGATTTCTCCGTGGTGGCCCGCCAATGTGTGCGTGCATCTCCCGGTCCTGACATCCCATACTTCGAAAACGCGAAGGGCACGAAATGAACGAGGGGGAGGAACCACAAGCATAAATATTTTTTATTTTGTTCATCACTGTAACTCAGCGCTCACATATTTTTTCCACCGGGTAAGACATGGAAGCTTGAAACACCATAAAAAACAGAGTGTTGTCAAAGATGGTGGCCCGCCGACAAACGTGGTACTGAAACGCCGCACAACGCCTTTGTTTCAAGGGCACCAAAGGAGTGAGGGCGTGCTTCGTACGTAGCGAGGGTGAGCACGAAAAAGGCCACGATAAAGAGGGGTGAAGGCCATAATGGTCCCCCCCTTGTGCGCATCTATTGGGTGGGTGGGCAACAAAACGCGGCGTCAAAGAACTTTCATCCTCAAACCTGCTTAAACGCCTTCACCGATGGAGGTGGGAGAAGCGTACGCCGTCGCACGAACGCAAGTCAGAAAATTCCCCCCAAAGGGCGCGGGAAATCAGTGACCCACTACTGTAGAATCAAATATATGGGGTCGTGGAACTCCAGGGTTGGGACTGTCAAATCCGCTCGAGAAAATATAGAAGCATTCGCTATGAACGATCTCTTTTGCGTGCGCCCGGCTCGGCGCTCTCTGTTGAGAAACGTAAAGTGGTATAGTACGAATAAACTGCGGGCGACGAAGGCAATAAGAGACCTATCATAGACAGGAAGCAACAGTGACGTCGGAGTCAGGTTCCCACTTACGTTTCACGGTGTGATCAAATGACCCGGTCATGACCCTCTGCCCGTTGGTGTCGAAGTTGAGAGACACAATCTCCGCGGTGTGTCCCAGGAGCGTGTGCAGGCACTCTCCTGATTCCACGTCGAAGACCCTGGCAAGACCCCAAATAAAGATGAAACACTACGTCGGAGCATTGTCAAGCAAAGACCCTCGAAGATAAGCTTTGCAGAGGATTTGAGTGGTAAAGGGGGGGGGGACACTGGCCGATGTAGGGGATTTCACCCCACACTGCTGTAGGAGCATATGTGCCGGGGCCTGAGGACCGGGACTACGGCGGTTTCCGAGGTTCGCCAAAACTACTTTGTCATCAAAGAAAACATGGTAAGGAGTAGTACCCTTGGTCATTGAGCGCTTCTGTAGGGTTAGTGTTAGGACTAGACTACGCCAATGGACTAGACTAGAACCACATAAAACAAACCATGTTTCAAAACAAACCAGAAACCAGGCGTGTTGAATGGAGTAACGCAACAGTTACCGACGAACGAAAAGTCTCAACCCCCGAGCCAACCTCCAGAAAAAAAAACTTTGGCGCTCTATCTCTCGCGCACGGCACGAAAAAAAATATGGCCGTCAGGCCCACGACGACGGCAAGCACGGACCGAGTCGCCACGTTACCGTCCATGAGGCCTCCAACGGCGGTGGCAAGCCGACCGCGAAGTATCAGTGCTGCACGCTGCCTCACCGACTCCGAAAACTAGTCACAGTTAGACACACCAAGCTCCAAGAGCAAACGGTTCCTCGTCCTTGCCACAAACACATCGAGGCACAACAAACGAGGTGAGCTCTGCACTCAAGGTTACCTCCCGGCTCCTCCCGCGCATCACCTGGCCGTGTTGTCCATCGAGCCCGTGGCGATCTTGGTCCCATGAGGATCGAACGACAGGCACACGATCTCCGTAGAATGTCCTCGGTAGGTGTGGAAAAGGTTACCCGTCTACGTGGGGGACGCACGCGCGCACGTGAGAACACCGGAAAGCAGAACGCAGCCGAGTTTGCAAGAAGAGGGGGTGGGGATACGGGACACGCATGTGTTAGGGTGGTGGACACGAGAGAGTTGCGTTTGTGTCGCCCAAGGAGGTAGCACCTGTTCCCGTCTGCCTGCCTTTTGCAGCGGCAAGACTGCAAGACTCAGTATGGTGTTTTTCGACCTTGAGAGAGAGCTGGCACTATTAGTGCTGACAAGCACCTTCGAGATGAGTATTCAACCACGGCATGAAGCGCGACCAGGTCGGAGCACAGTTCTTGCTGAAACGCTGATAATCCAACCAACGCTCTACCTTCCTTGGACGCGCCGAACCTAGTTACGATTGAGGCCCTTGCTCGTCCAACTTCGAAGGAATACTGTAAATCTACACCAAAGTCATGCCAAAGTAACTCAAATGCAAGAAAACGACGCCAACATTCAACTTGAAGGCCGTTTTCATCCAAAACGCTGGATTCGAATGTTGCATGTGCGCAAATGTGTCAACCCGCAGGGAGGGCGGGCGGGGGACGGGGGGGGAGGGGCGGAGTATGTCCCGACGGTTGAATCCTTGGATTTTTCCGCCAGCAGCAGGACGTTGGAATAATCAGTGGCGAGCGAGCAAAATAACAGAGAGAACATAGTCCATGACGGACGCCCATCGCGAAAGCGTCTAGTGCACCACGACCGTGGCGTAGACGCGGAACATTTAGCAAGAAACAGTGAGCCCTCTCACCGTGCACGCCCACAACCTATTCGGCATGCTTTCCAGACAGCTTCCGAAGCAGGCTGTACGTCAGTTGCCCTCATCTCTATTGCCAAAACGGGATTGCTTATGGCTCAAGCAAAACTGCACACATCATTTGGCGGTTACACAGGACAAACAATTACCGCCTCACCTCGGCGTTCCACAGCTTGCAGGTCTTGTCGAATGATCCCGTGATGATCTTGTTCCCCCAGGGGTTATTGAAAGCGATCGCGTACACGACGTTGCGGTGCCCGTCCAGCGTCAGCAACTCGTCCCCGGTGGTGGTGTTCCACACCTGGCGTGTGCGTGCCGATCAAGGGGGGGGGGGG